TAATTAAGTATTTACTTATTATTTTTATTTACTTTATTAAATAAACACACATCTTTTAAATCGTATAAAAACTTTTAAAAAACAAGTATGTTCAAATAACAATACAAGATCTTTACAAGATATGAAAGACTCAAATTATACAACATCAAATTTCATGTTTTAAACTCAAAATTGTATGTTTTAAAAAATTATTTTTACTAAAAAACTATAAAATTAATAAATATTATTATAAAATTATAATTCTAATTGTAATCATTAAACTTTTAAAATATGTACGTATATAATTTTTTATAGCATTGATAAATCCAAATCTTATAGATTATTGCATAAAATTGTATCTTATTTTTTTATATAGAATTCGGAAAACTAAAAATCTATTTAAATTTATTTATACTAAATTTATTCACTACAAAACTAGTAAAAATAAAAATTGAATTATTTTATATAGTACTGCTATAATAAACTTAACTTGAGATGCTTGAGTTGGAATATTTTTTGGTAGGAACTTAATAATAAGTTATATTTAATTAAGAATTTTACTAAAATTTATTATATTTTTCTTAAGTTTATCTAAAAGATCAACTTTGAATTCTTTTAAAGATAGAATTATAATTTTATAAAATAGTGTAAATAGAGTAGTTATTTGAACTTACATAATTGTTGAAAAAATATTCTCTATCATGGTTGATTGATTGTAATTGTAAATTGATGCATTAGAATCATTTTTTTTTATTTGATTTTGTTTTGTTTTTTTTTTTTTTTTTTTTAATTTCCTTGATAGGAAAAAAAATCTTAAAAACTTTTAATAGCCACATTGCTTCCCTATATGTCTAACATTTTCTTTTTTATTAAAAATATTTTTATTAATCTAAATATTTCTATAAACTTCTTTATTCATTTATTTATTTTTTTGAAATATTAAATAAATTCTTTTTTTTATAATTCTATCATTTAGATTAATAGTAGTTTTTAAAGTTAATTTTTTTAAAGTATATATTTTAGATAGTATAACAAATCTTTAAAGGAAAAATAAATAAAGACTGTACAAATTCTTGTAAATTATTTATTTAACAAAATATTAAAGAATTCAACCAAAAGCTTATAATTTTGCAATGAATGTATGTATATGTTGAATTAAGAATATATTTATTAAGAAAAAGACGTTTTGAAGAAAAACTCACTTTAACAAGCTTGTATAAGAAATTCATTTATTTAAGTTTTAAAATTGAAAATATTAAAATTTCTATATTGATTGACATAAGACCAACCAACTTATTCATGAATCCAATTTGTACTAAGAAGTTGAAATTGACTCAAGAACCAATCAAAAAGGTGAAGGTGTCTTTTGCTTGAGGTAGAGAGACAACCAATTTAGTTGTTAAAGATTTAAAATTTAAATATAAAAATATAAGGTTTCAAAAAGACTTTATAATATACAATCTTAATAAAATAGATGTAGTATTAGAGAATATTTTTTATGAAATAAAAATCTAATGGAAGCCTACAATAAGAATAGTCATGGTTAGAGAGAATAAAAAAGTAATAGACTTATCATTCACAAATATTTTTATATTATATCAATTTAGAATCTCTATATTTTCTTAAAGTAAATTAAAAAGAGAGCAATATCTCTTATATTTAAGAAGTAATGATTTTGATTTTGAATATATTAATGATTTTTTTTATAATAAAAATAAGTTCTTGAAGATAACTTCATACTTTGTAAAACTTGTTAAAAATCTTATAAGGAAGATTCGAGATATATTAACAAATGAACTGCCAAAAAAACTTCCACCTAATAGATTGGTAGATCATAACATAGAATTAATTCCAAGTATACAACCACTAAGTAAAGTACTTCATAGATTGAATCAACTAAAATTAAGTAAATTCAAGAAGCTATTCAATGAGTTGCTTGAAAAATGATATATTAAGCAAAGAAAATCTCCATTTAGAGCGCTAGCCTTTTTTATGAGCAAAAAAGATGGCAAAATAAGGATGTGCATTGATTATAGAGTCTATAATAAAATCACTATTAAAAACAACTACCTATTTCTAAGAATTGATGACTTATTGAATAGATTGAATGGTAGTTAATATTTTAGTAGGATTGATCTTAAGAGTGGTTACTATCAAATAAAAATTGTTAAAGAAAGAATAAAAAAAACTGCTCATAAAATCAAGTATAGATCCTATGAGTTTGTAATAATATCTTTTAGGTTGTATAATGCTCTTTCTATCTTTATCACTATGATGAAATCTATATTTTATATAAAAAGTGATGAGTTTGTATAGATGACATTCTAATCTTTTCTAAGAATGAAGAAAAATACAAGTTACATTTGGAAGTAGTCTTGAAGAAATTAAGAGATAACCAAGTCTTTCTTCACTTAGAGTTAAGTGTTTTCTTCTTAGAAGAATTGGAATTCTTAAAACATTTTATTAATGGAGAAGAACTAATATCATATTCAAAGAAGATAGAAGCAATTAAAAGCTAAGAGATACCAAAAAAATTCAAAAAGAAATAAGGTCTTTCTTGTGACTAGAAAATTATTTTAGAAAAATCATAAAGAACTCCTCAAAAATTTCTAACTCTTTTACAAGTTTCTTGAAAAAAGATAAAAAAACCATAAAATAAAAAATAGAATATAAAGAATCCTTTCAAGAGATAGAAATTCTTTAGTGTCAAGTACTATCTTATTCTATCTTAAGTTTGGTATAGAATTTGAAATCCATACAAATACAAGTGATTTTGTAATTAGGAGAGTTTTAATGCAAGAAAGAAGACTTGTGGCTTTTAAAAATAAGAAGTTAAATGGAAGCCAATTGAGGTGGCCAATACATGAAAAGAAATTTTTTGTAGTAGTACATTGTTTGAAGGCTTAGAAACACTACTTGGAAGGTAGAAAAACCAAAGTATATATTGATAATAATTCTCTTAAATATTTTACTTTGAAAGCATAGATCTCTTTTAAAGAATTATGGTTGTATAATATAATAGTTTCAATAGATGTTAAACTTATTCAAAAACGAGGCAAAGATAACTTGATACTAGATGCATTGAGTAGAAGAAAAGAATTCATGGAAGAAAAGCTCCATGACACTAAAGATAATAGTATATTATAATGATTCCTTACTTATAAAAAGTATTAAAGAAGTTTATGAATAAAATGAAGATGCAATGAAAATAAAATAAAATAAAATAAAAACATTTGCTCAAATTAAAACTGTAAAAGAATAGAAAAGACTTATAGAAATCTCTTCTATAAGAAATGGAATTATTTTATTTAAATAAAGCATATTCTATATACTAAATATATATATATATATATATATAAAACTAATTTATGATTTTCTGTATTAAAGACATAGAGGTGTAAAGACCACACTTAAGAATCGAACAAAATCTTATTATTGGCCTTCTATAAGAGAAGATGTTGACTAATATGTAAGAAGTTGTTTGGTGTGTCAAAGAAATAAACACTATGTACAATCAAAGGTAGGACTTTTGGAACCATTGTCAATTCTATGTCTATCATAAAGAGATATTTCAATAGATTTCATAGCTAGCTTATTAAAATATTGTGAAGCTAATTCTATATTGATGGTTGTTGATAGATATAGCAAGACTACTAGGTTTATATCAATGACAACATTTTCAAAGGATTCAAAAGAAGAATTGGAAACTGTCTCAAGGATGATAAGAGGTATCTTCTTTGATTATTGGATCTCTTTATATAAAGTGCTAATTTCAATTGTGACTAATAGAAATGTGGGATTTATAACTCAATTTTAGCAACATATTATGAAAAAATTAAGTTCAAAAATAACACTAACAACTACATAGCATCCACAAAAAAATGGCCAAATTGAAAAGGCTCAATAGAGTTTTTTCAATGTACCTAAGGCAATATAAGGCAAGTGACTATAAGGATTGGATCAAATGATTGTTCATAGCAGAATTTAATTATAGTACTACTCAAAGTAAATCCTTAGAAAATAGGCCTTTTTAAGTAGCTCATAATTTCAATGCACTTGGGCCAATTAATTTGATAGAAGTTAGGCATAATAATGAAACAACTTCTGGCTTCTATTCAACAAAAGAAGTAAGGTAGATGGCCAAAAGAAATGCTATAATAAAAATTACCAAAGCTAAGCTTGAGTTAGCCCAAAAAAGATATAAGAAACAAGTTGATAAACATAGAAAAGATCTGCACTATATAAAAGGGGACAAAATAAGATTGAATACAAGTGACCTCACTTGCCTAATACATCTCACTTTCAAATGGATCTAATAGTAGGCAGGTCCTTATGAAGTTGCAAACATATTATACAAGAATATATATATCTTAGACATATTGAAGAGATTGATGAGGCATTCGATTTTTTATGTAAGTGTTCTTAGGAAGAAATTTGTAGAAGATGTGAGTGGCTTCTACAAAAAGAAGGCAAAGATTTCACCTTAAAAAGAGGTGTGGAATCAAATTATGGATCAAGTAGAAGTAATATTTAATAAAAAAAACATACAAATATGAAGGGAATTCAATACTTGTATATTTTCAAAGATTACCCTCCACATGAATTGTAATGGATAAATAAAAGAAACTTGAGATATGTACAAGGATTAATCACGGCTTTTAATAAGAAAGTATGTGACTATACAAAACCAAAGAGTAGAAGAAAACAAATTAAAATCACTTAAGTGATTTTTTGATAAAAGTTAAGAGAGGCAAATAAAAATGACTAAATAGATGAGAATATCTTTACTCCAAAGTGGGGGAGGGTCACAACTCTATATAACAATTAAAAATATGTAGTTATGAATCAAAGTATGAGAGAATCTCAAATAGCATCAAATGGGCAAGACATGTTTGTGGCGGATCATATGGTAGGCAGGCACGCCCATGTTCACGATCCTTCTCAGACACCTTGAAAAGCCTGCTCTGGTTGACGGGGATTGTATGAGAGATGATTAGAAGATCAATGACTATGTCACAATGTCAAAGATATGATTTATAAAGAAAGGACCGATTGCAGTAATCGGGAATAAAAATTGGTGATTTCCTAAACAGGTCATGAATACTCAAATCCATATTCCACTCGGAACAATCGATCACAACACAGCTGCAAATATCAAGCAGAAACCTAATCATCGACTTTAAAAGTTCACGAACCAAGCTGCAACTGCAAGCCAGCAGAGGAGAAAGATACACACTCCCGATGGCTCATGTGCACCAACAAAAACAGCTGCTAATGTTTGGATATTTGCAGCGAAAAAATAAGCAATGCCATTTCCAAAAGCTCGATGAAAACACGATGCAAGTGAAGAAATTCTTTCGCAATGAACAAAAATAGCGAATAGATCCACGTCACACCGTCTTGGACACCAGATGATCCCCTGTGCGTGCTCACGCGCCTCTCTTACTGGAGAATGAGAGCCGATCTCTACTTGTTTTCCTGTTGCATTTCTATCTGTCTGTGGATGGTTCCTTCCTACTTAATCGCTCGATCATCAATGGCTGCCAATGACGACTAGACAGGGAGGGGCGTCAAAATCCAGCTTCCTTAGACAGTGAGTCGAGTGTATCATCCACAGCTTCCTAATCCGCGACTTATGCTACAATGGAAGGGGAAGAGAGCAAGTAACCTGGAAGAGATTTATCTGCAATTGCACTGTTTTGGATCTTTTTGGTAAAAGACAATGTCACCCTCGTCGGCCACGAAGTGATCCTCAGAGAAACTCTTCATAATGACAGGGATGAGATGAAGAGGAATGGGACCTGACTTCTCTGGTTCTCGGTAGAAATTTCCAAGCAAAGACTTGACAGCCGCGGTTGCCTCACATAAATGATAATGCGGGATCTGAGGAAACAGGTGATGCACGACGTGCGTGCCAATGTCGTGGTGGATCTTGTTGAAAAAACCGTAGTCACGATCGACGGTGGACAGTCCTCCCCGCAAATAGTTCCACTCCTTACCTCGGTACCAGGGAATCTTTTTATCGTACCCATGGTGGTGAAGGTATGTCACGGCATCCAACCACATCACATTAATGATATACGGGACGAAGTAGAGCTTAAGCATCCAGAGGAACCCGAACTGTGACACTGCTGCCGTTAAGATAGCCCCCATTGCCAACCAGCACGCGGTCGACATCGTCACCTCGCTCCACTCACTCTGATCAAATAAGTCGCTGGAGGGATTGAAATGGGAACCATCCTTCCCTGGACTCCTCGTCCACAAGTACACTGGATAGGCAAACAGAGTAGTTGGAAACTTGAGACGCCCACATTTAGCCCAGAAATTCAGTGTCTTGAACACCGCCTCTGTCATCGGGTACCAGGACTCATCGTTTTCGACATGCCCGTGATTGGCGTGATGCGTCCTATGGCTGATGCGCCACCCATGATACGGCACAAGAATGAACGAGTGCATGATGTGGCCAACTAGGTTGTTCAATCTTTTACTGTTGGAGAAGCTGCCATGCCCGCAGTCGTGGCCAAGAACGAAGATCGCCCAGAACATCGTCCCCTGTGCAATCCAATAGAACGGCCACAGAAACCAGCTATCAAGATACGCCGTCACACACGCCAGCGCCACTACAATGGTAACATCCCTGCCGACGTAGCTGAACGACCTCACAATGCTTCTTTCCCAGCAGAGCTTGGGAATGGCGGCCCGTATCTGACCAAGACTGAACGGCGGCCGCGTCGACGCATCGAACTCCTCATCATCCCTATTATGCTGATGCTTCACGGAGATTGCAGCCAGCTTGCCATCGTCCTCCGCGCTGCGTAGCGATACCGCAGAAGGATTGTCAGCAATCTTACTGGCTTGATCCATCGAGATCATGCCCCTTCTGGACGACATCGCTATTCGCCCCAAGAGCTCTCCTGGCTCCGCCCCGGGTCAACCTCCTGGACTCGCAGCGCCTGTCTCCTACCTAAGGCAATGATAGAGAGACGACCCAACAGACAGGAACTGCATATTTACGCCGAGTGGGGAGGAGGGGACAGGGAGGGGGAGGGGCGGGTCTTGGTCAGAATCGGGCATTCGATGTCATATTTTCATGAGGTTTGTAAGTTACTCCAAGTATTGGCATGACAAATATTATGACAGCCCCGCACCGTCTGCCTACCAAAAGTGGAAACCTGACGTACGGTCTGTGTCTTTCTCGACGTGACCTATGGACGCTGGCCATGTGGTGAATAAATTAATTAATAAAAAAATAAATCGATGTATTTAGATATCTGCGTTCTGTCACGACGTGATGAAAGCGGCGATGGTAACAATGCAGCAGCAGATCTTCTTCTTCCCTCTCTCTCACTCCCTCCCTCTGCGGTCTTGCCCCTTCTGCTGCGTCGCTCATGTCCCAAAACAAACGTGGCTCCCCCCCCCCCCCAGCTCTGGCCCACCGGGTCCGCCTGAGCCCCAGCGCAACGGGCAGCCTCTTCTGGATGGGAAGCCCGCCACTCTGAATCCAACCTAATTCTGTCCAGATCTGCGGCACTGGAAACGGCCACCGCGCAGGGACGGAGGGAGGTTGCGGCCTAGCTAGCTTCCCAGTCCCCCCTCCAGTCCCCCTCCAGTCCCATTTTCAGGCCCTGTCTTATTACTATCCTAAAGTGCATTTACCCTTTTCTCCTGTACGACTTAGTACTGAAAGTCCCATCCATGTCCTTAGAAATGCAATTACATGGTGGATGGAAAGTAGAAACCTGTCTGATAAGGATTTTTCCCACTAAAGCTGGAGAGTTATGGAATTAAAAGAAAATTCAAAATTCAAAATGGATGTTGAGATGAACTGGTCACATACATGACATTGCTTCTACACAATGACTTTAGTGCATATATACATATATGTATATACTATTCAAGAATTTTCCTTAATGAAACAATTAAATAGGATATTATAGAACACACTTTACACTTATAATATTAATGTGTAGCCATTGTCTTCTACCACATTTGGTAATTTTCAAATCATCATGTTTTAAGCTTTTCTTTTCTTTTTCTTTTCCTTTTTCCATATTATTGATTATTGTAGAAGAAAGATTGTATGAGGTCATTATAACAACATCATGGTTCACTTTTCCACTTTTGTTCCATCATTTCCTCTATATTCTTTCATGACCATGGTTTTCTATGTAAAATTTGAATCACTTCATTATTAATCATACTTGTGTGATGTGTCCAGTCTCTTTTTCCAGAAATATATCAACCAATGATGCACGTTTGTGGCTAGGGCATCACATAAATTCCAACTACTAATGATTAAGAGGCTGAAGGAGGGAGGAACTCGGATTTATTTATAAAAAAGTATGTTGGGTGCACAACATTATCAACAACACCTTAGAGATTTGCATATTCTTCTTTGTATCAATGGGAGGTTATGACCTCCTACATTTTCTACCTACATTCATCTTTTTGTATTAGAATGGACTTGTATCTCCCACCATCCTTCTTGCTTCTATCAGAAGAAAAATCAAGTATCATCAATAGAAATCAAACCCCCTAGTTACCAGATGTAGGGAGGGATTTGCATTCTTTAGAACCTCTCAAAAAAAGAAATAATAACTTAGTATAATATTATATAGGAATAATAACTTAGTCAAATAATATAACAAGTTATTATTCCTCTTTGGTTTTAAGAGGAAGAATAACTTGGTCACTTTTACTTGATGCAACAAGAGATCCAAGCCCCCTTACCTATTGTTCCACCTTGAATCAATTATTGCCAACTTAAGTCTTCTATAAAACTTCTATGGAAGACTTAAGCATGGAAGATTAAAGATTTTATATAAAATAACTAAGATACATAAATTATATATACATAATTTAATTCTTATTAATATAAAATATAATTTTATTAGATATCATTTATTAATTAGATATTTTATATAATTAATTAAATTAATTATATTATATTTAACATAATTTTATATATTATATATTATATATTATATGATTCTAAAAATAATCTTAAAATTTAAATATTTCTATGTATTTTACTTTTATATATATCTATATTTTATATACTTATATATTTTTTATTTTATATATATCTATATATATTCTTATAAATATCTAATAAGAAGTTTTTAGAAATATTCTTAAAATATTACATTAGATTATAGAAGATTTTAAAAATATTCTTGTAGAAGATTTTAGAAAGATTTTTAGAATATTTTAAAAGTTTGTAGAAGGTTCTTAAAATAATTCAACACTTTATAGAAAGTTAAAAGAAGATTAAGAAAGTTGTCTAAGAAGCTTCCTAAGGTTGCTTCATCTTTAAGTAATATGAGAACTTCTCAAGAAGCTTCTTAAGATTGATTCATCTTCAATCAAAATGAAAACTTCTTAAAAAGTTTATTAATATCTAGTATGTATTGGAAACAAAGTTAAAGAGATTCTCAATCTTGACAATATATCTTTTCAGCTTTAATCCATCTCTCTTGGTATTGATCTTGTACTCATTTGATTTAATCAAGTTCTTACTAGGTTTTTTATTAAAAATCTTGTATTCAACTTCTTGTTTGGTATTTAATATAATGTATCTATGACAGTTTGTTGAGACAACCATCTTATTAATACTAGAGCTTAATTCTTCTTAATAAAGAATAGATTATTTCTTTTTTTGGAGGCATCTAAAAGCTTGAGGAGTTATAGAGTACCATCCTCTAAATTTATATTATTTAATATATATATATATATATATATATATATATTTAGGATGTTTGGACGTAAAGATATTAATATAATTGAGTCACTTGATTCTAAGATATATATTATTATTATTGAAGAATAAGCACTATGAAGTCACAACACTTAACATCAACAAGGTTGTATACAAAGAGAGTATGGAGTAAGATATGTCTCACTTCCAACATCCATTACTTATGGGTGGTGGGTGTTGTCTTAATAGATAACTTCCATTCTTTGATGAATACATCCATCTAATAATCTATTAAGATTATCTATTATTATCTTATCTACAATAAAAATATATTTTTAGTATATTTTGTATATTCTTAAGATCATTGATCCATTCAACTACTTTATCTCTTTACCTTCTTACATACCAAGAGCCAATTCTTTAACCAATAGTAATTTATCTAAGATAATATCTTCTATAATATAAGTTATTTTACTTTCACTTTTATTTACTTACTTTAACACTCCTATTTTGCTATTGGTTAAAGACTTTTAATCTTAATGCCTTTGTTAATATGTGATGTCTATTCTTTATTAATACCTTTGTCAACAAATTAGCAAGCATATCTTCTGTTGCATAATATTTCATATTAATCATTCATATATCAATCTTCTCTCTTATGAAGTGATATTGAATGTCAATGTACTTGGTCCTTGAATGATACTTTGGATTCTTTGAAAATACAAGACATCTTTGATTGTTACATTCCATTGGAATTGCTTTCATTTACAATACTTCAATGTCTTCCAAAAGTTTCTTAGCCATAGTGCCTCTATTCTACCATAGCTTACTGTCATGTACTCTACCTCCATTATTGATCTTGTAATTGTTGGTTGTCTCTTACAATTCCATAAAATAGCTCCCACTCCAACAAAGAACACTTATCTCATTATTGATCTTCTATCATTTACATCTCCAGTCCAATCTACATCACAATAACCATGTAAATTAATACTACCATCTTCAAGGTACAATTTGAAATGCAAAATACCTTTTAAATACTTCATGATTCTTTTGATGGTTGTCCAATGGAATGGTCTAGCCTTTGATATATATTAACTTACAATACTCACCACATATGCAAGATCTCCCTTTATATCAACCATTGCATGTATAAGTGAACCTATTTCTCCTTGGTATTGAACACCTTGCATTTTACCTTCAACTTCACCAAATTCTTCATCCATGAGCTTCATCAACTTCAAATTGGCTTCCAAAGGTGTTGCAATAGACTTACACTCTTCTTTGTTGAATTATTTCAATATTTCTTTAATATACTTGCTTTGGCTCATTGTAATGGTCTTCTTAGTACAATCTCTCACAAATTCTACTCCCAAATAGAAGTAAAGATTTTCCAAATCACTCATCTCATACTCCTTTTTAAACTTTGTCTTCAATCAATTTATCATATTTATAGTATTGGTTAAGATAATCAAATCATTAGCATAAAGAATGACAATTAATATGAACTCACATGATTGCATCATATATAAGGAATAATCAAATTCACTCTTTAAAGTCCTTTTATTCACAAAAAATATGTCAATGTATTAATATTATGCCTTTAGAGATTGCTTGAACTCATACAAAGCTTTCTTCAATTTACAAAGAAGATGTTTTTTTTCTTCTACAAATCCTTGAGGTTTCTTTATGTAGATGTTTTCTTTTAGGTTTTCATTCAAGAAAGTCATCTTCACATCTATTTGATACATCTCCAAGTCCATTGCTATCGCAATTGTAATAATGGTTCTAATGATAGTGAATTTGGCTATGAGAAAAAAATATGTCATTGAAAGCTACACCAACAACTTGTGAGTAGCTTTTGGCAATCAATCTAGAGTTATATCTCACAACATTATCTATTACATCCCTTTTGATTCTAAAAACCTACTTATAACCAATTGAAGATCAATTTTGTAGAAGTTGAGTGAATTCTTATGTTCCATTATGCATGAATGATTTGTACTCTTCTTCTATGGCATTCTCCCACTTAATACCATTTGTGGACTTTATTGCATTACACAAACTCAATGGATCAGCAAAGAATACAACATTAACATGTTCTTCACTTATTTGAGGAAAGATGTGATTCTTCTACTATAAAAAAAGTTGTTTTTTATCTCTTAAAGGATATCTCCTTTCATTTCATGAAGCCTCACCTTTTTTCATTCTAAGGTTTCTTGTAAGCTTCTTCACTCTTAAAACTCACTGCTTTACATTCAAAGGTTGGTACTTTTCATCATCATCATCATCATCATCTTCAACATCATTATTGTCTTCATTACTGATTTTAGTAATTATAGGCACATTATGGTCTACCTTCTTTGACTCTTCATCTTAATTTGTG